CATCAGTTAGCCATGATAATTAACCATGTTCAGTGGCAGTCTACCTCTGAATGACAGTTACTGGGGCGCACCGGAAAGGAAGGCTGTTTCTTTCATGCTCTGCTTATGGGCTTCACGCTAGGGCATTTGCTGGAAACTGGACGTTGGTCTAAATGGAACAGGATAAGCAGAGCTGTACTTAGGTTCCTTCTCTATTCAGAAAAACTGAAGAGAAGAAGAAGAAGAGATTGGATTTATATCCCCCCCTTCACTCGGAGTCTCAGAGCGGCTTACAAACTCCTTTCCCTTCCCCTCCCCACAACAGACACCCTGTGAGGTAGGTGGGGCTCAGAGAGCTCTGACAGAAACTGCTCTTTTCAAGGACAGCTCTTGTTAGAACTATGGCTTGCCCAAGGTCATGCAGTAGCTGCATGTGGAGGAGTGGGGAATCAAACCCAGTTCTCCCAGATTAGAGTCCGTACACTTAACCACTACACCAAACTGAGACATACTGAGCTCCCTAAATGGGTAGGATTGGCCGCTGCCTGTATGTCTGCGTTCTGTGTTGTGGCTCTCACCTTGCGGAATGACCTGCCTGAGGTGATCGAGGAAGTCTCCCATACTTCTCTCATTCCATGCAATGCGCAAAACAGAAATGTTCAGGAAGAATTACAATATAACAGAACAGTCCAGAGGGCACTTTTATAAGGGCACAGGATTCTAGTCTATTGCAATGTTTACTGTGTGCTTTTACTGCACTATCTTCTACATTAGTAACCCACTTTCTACATTATGGTATGTCATGGCTTCTGTTTTTCATTGTTTTCTAATTTCTGCATTCCCTGTCCTATTGCATTGTTTACTGGCTATTTTATGCAGTTTGGCTGAATTTTTCAAAATATTTTGTAATCTTCCATGGGGAAGGAAGGTGGCATGGCATAGCTCGATCCCAGAAAATAAGGCTCTGCAGAGGAAGGCAATGGTACCACCTCTGCTTCTCACTTGCCTTGAAAGCCCCTTGCTGGGGCCCCTGTAAATTGGCTGGAACTTGACAGCACTTACCTTCCTTGAGTCTTAGAAAGGTGAGTCATAAATGAAGTAAACAAATAAATAAATGTTTTACTGTGTCTGCTACCCGATTAGTGAAGAAATAATCCTGTGTTTGGAATTTGTTCAGTGTTTTGGATACAAATGCACTTTTAAATGCAGAAGATCCTAAAGACTAGAATACAGCTGAAACTAGAGTCTTTTTTGTTCGATTTAGTGGACAATCAGAAAAAAGTCACAGAGTTTTGTTTTTGTATATGACTACGGCAGCTAGAACGATTTACATCCAGAAATGGAAATGTCTGACAATACCTACAGTAGAAGAAAGATTTGAGAAGATATTGGACTTTGCAGCTATGGCTAAACTTACAGTACTCGTTAGGGAAAAGACAATTTCTTCATTTATTAAGGATTGGAACCCCCTCATTGACTTTTTGCATGAAAAATTTAAGGACGATTTATGGTTCTGATTTGTATGTATAAGGACAATTTCGTTATCAAAATTATATTTGTTGCAGAGAAAATCAGAAGCCTTTTATGTTCCTCTTTCCCAGACAAGTTTGGCCTTGGAAAGCAAAATGAAGCAGGGCAAAGGTTAACAGAGTTTTGTCAAGAGAACACACTGGTCATAGCGAACACCCTTTTCCAACAACCTAAGAGGCGACTCTACACATGGACATCACCAGATGGGCAACACCGAAATCAGATTGACTATATAATTTGCAGTCAAAGATGGAGAAGCTCTATCCAGTCAGTAAAAACAAGACCTGGAGCTGACTGTGGTTCAGATCATGAGCTACTCATTGCAAAATTCAGACTTAAACTGAAGAAAATTGGGAAAACCACGAGGCCATTCAGGTTTGACCTAGATCGCATCCCTGATGAATATACAGTAGAGGTGAAGAATAGATTCAAGGGTCTGGATTTGATAGATAGAGTGCCTGAAGAACTATGGACAGAGGTTCGTGACATCGTACAGGAGGCAGCAATCACCACCATCCCAAAGAAAAAGAAATGTAAGAAAGCAAAGTGGCTTTCTGATGAGGCTTTACAAATAGCAGAGGAAAGAAGGAAAGCGAAAGGCAAAGGCGAAAAGGAAAGATTTACCCAACTGAACGCAGATTTCCAGAGAACAGCAAGGAGAGATAAGGAGGCCTTCCTGAATGAACAGTGCAAAGTAATAGAAGAAAACAATAGAATGGGAAGGACTAGAGATCTCTTCAAGAAAATTGGAGAAATCAAGGGAGCGTTCCATGCAAAGCTGGCCATGATAAAGGACAAAAACGGTAGGGACCTAACAGAAGCAGAAGAGATTAGGAAAAGATGGCAAGAATACACAGAAGAACTATACAAGAAAGACCTCAATGTCCTTGACAAACACGACGGTATAATCACTGACCTTGAGCCAGACATCCTGGAATGTGAAGTTAAATGGGCCTTAGAAAGCATTGCTAACAACAAAGCTAGTGGAGGTGATGGTATTCCAGCTGAGCTATTCAAAGTCTTAGAAGATGATGCTGTTAAAGTGCTGCACTCCATTTGCCAGCAAATTTGGAAAACGCAACAGTGGCCACAGGATTGGAAAAGGTCAGTATACATTCCAATCCCAAAGAAGGGCAATGCCAAGGAATGTTCAAACTATCGCACAATTGCACTCATATCACACGCTAGCAAGGTCATGCTCAAGATCCTACAAGCTAGGCTTCAACAGTACGTGGATAGAGAACTACCAGAAGTACAAGCTGGGTTTCGAAGAGGTAGAGGAACTAGAGATCAAATTGCCAACATTCGCTGGATTATGGAGAAAGCAAGAGAGTACCAGAAAAATATCTACTTCTGCTTCATTGACTATGCTAAAGCTTTTGACTGTGTGGATCACAACAAACTATGGCAGGTCCTTAAAGAGATGGGAGTACCAGACCACCTCACATGTCTCTTGAGAAACCTGTATAAGGGCCAAGAAGCGACAGTTAGAACCGGATATGGAACAACTGATTGGTTCAGCATAGGAAAAGGAGTACGACAAGGATGTATATTGTCGCCTTGCTTATTTAATATATATGCAGAGTACATCATGCGAAATGCTGGCCTGGATGAATCACAAGCGGGAATTAAGATTGCTGGGGAAAAGATCAACAACCTCAGATATGCAGATGATACCACTCTAATGGCTGAAAGTGAAGAGGACCTAAAGAGCCTCTTGCTCAGGGTAAAAGAGGAGAGCGCAAAAGTGGGCTTGAAGCTCAACATCAAAAAAACTAAGATCATGGCATCCGGCCCCATCACTCCTTGGCAAATAGAAGGGGAAGTCGTGGAAGTAGTGACAGACTTCACGTTCCTGGGATCCCAAATCACCGCAGACTGTGACTGCAGCCATGAAATTAAAAGACGCCTGCTCCTTGGGAGGAAAGTGATGGCGAACCTAAACAGCATGATAAAAAGTAGAGACATCACCCTGCCAACAAAAATACGCATGGTCCAAGCAATGGTATTCCCAGTAGTCATGTATGGCTGTGAGAGTTGGACTATAAGGAAGGCCGAGTGCCGAAGAATAGATTCTTTTGAACTATGGTGCTGGAGGAGACTCTTGAGAGTCCCTTGGACTGCAAGAAGATCAAATCAGTCAATCCTAAAAGAAATCAACCCTGACTGTTCCTTGGAAGGCCAGATAATGAAACTGAAGCTCAAATACTTTGGCCACCAAATGAGAAGGGAGCACTCACTGGAGAAGACCCTGATGCTGGGAAAGATTGAAGGTCAAAGAAGACGGGGACGGCAAAGGATGAGATGGTTTGACAGTGTCATCGATGCAACAATCATGAAACTGAGCAAACTTCAGAGGACAGCGGAAGACAGGAGGGCCTGGTGGGATCTAGTCCATGGGGTCGCGAAGAGTCAGACTCGACTGTGCGACTGAACAACAAATCAGTCTAAGGTTTTTTCCCCCTCTATGTTTTCTAGTTTTATTTCTCTAATAAAATTAAAATTTTATCAACAAATTTGTTCACTGTTGCAAAAACCATAGAAGTAAAATGCTAGCACTCTCCAGAGCCTCCTTTGTTTTATGTTTGGCTTGTTAAATCCTGGGATATTGCTGAAATTACAGATTTTCCTTGTGGAAGATGGGAATCATTTGACAGGGGCATTTACTAGCCCATATGGCAATGCTCTATCAAGTTCATGATTCATCTTTATAATATGAATACAACATTAATTTGGTTTTGACTTCAAAGTATAGTGTACAAGAATTTGATTTAGAGTATTTTATTTGCAGAGCTACAAAACGTACATTTCTGGCACTTCATGGGGAAATCTAGGAAGTTTGCAGAACGCACATGTTTAATGAACTTTCATACAATTAAAATTCTTCTTTTAAGTGACTTTTTAAAAAGTTAAGCTGGAAGCACTGGACAATTAATCATTATCCAAGAGAGATTTAAAAAAATTTAAAAGAGCATCGGGTCATCATCAGTGTCCAGAGAAAAAAGATACGACAAGGGCCACGCCCCCGCTTTTGATCCATGCCATGACGGAGGTACAACAGACAGGATGAAGACAGACAGGCACAGCACGGCGCCCCAGCTGGCACTGGCTTCCATAGGTCTGACCTTGCCTGCACGCACGGAGCGGCTCCGCCTTTCGATCACCTGGAGAGTGGCGGTGAGAAGTCACGAGTGGGAGCGGCCCGCGAGGAACCGCCGCCGCCCAATCAGCGCGGGCCCTTTCCCCCGAGGCCCCGCCCCTCTGTCCCACTCCCTCCTCCCCGCGGGCCTTCGGACCCCTCCTCTTCGCTACCCGCCCCCGCCTCCGCCGGTGACGCCACGCTCGGCTCAGCCGGCGCCATTTTGGAAAGTGGAACCTTGGGGGGGGGGGGGTTGGGTAAGGAAGGGGGGGGGGTGGGGGAAGGGGAGGAAACCAAGAGGGGGGGAAGCCCTGGAAGAGAAGCCGGCCTTTCCCCCCCCCCCCCCCCCCGGGCGCGATCCGCTGCCATCCTTCCTCTGCGTTCTTTTTGAGCCTGGCACTGGGATATTTTTGGAGAGCGAAGAGGCTGCTCTAACCCACCCTGACACTATTGGGAGCCGAACATGGCAGGTAAGGGGGAAATCGCCTCTCTTGCCGGGGCGGACCGGCGCCTGGCTCTGGAGCCTCCGGGGTGGTGGCAGGTGAGACTCTTGCATTGGTGTGCAGAGGCGCTTGCAAAGCTGAATTGCTGTGGCGTGCAGCTGTTTGCAGACTGCTCTTGGGGGGTTGTCTCCGCTCTCCTCCTTTTCTTTTGCTATTTATTACCTCCTGCAAATTTCTTCCCACCTTGTCTTTCTCCCTTGCATCTTTTCCTGCAAGAATGTAACTGACAAGACAAGCGTGAGCTCTTCTTTCCCCTCTTCTAATTTTCCCTCCCTTTTTTACATGCTCATCTTCTCCTTTTGCTTCCTACTTGGACCAAAAGGAATTTTTTTGGGGAGGGGGGGGAGCTTCACGTTTTTTGTTTTTTTTTAAGAGAAAGGGAGGTTTTCATTTCCAGGGGAGACAAGTTGAGGGAGACACGACTGAAAGGCGGGGGTGGGGGTGGGTTGCGGAGATCGGGTCAAGGGTCTCCTCCGTTTCTTTTAGATGGAATTGCTTTGTGCAGGGCTCAGTGATTGGGCAAAGGAATTACTCAGTGAAGTAATTCTTTGAAGTGTAGATTTGGGCCAGGAGGGGAGGGGAGGGGGCGGCCCTGACTTGCCAAATGTTTCAGAAAGTGCCGTTCTTCTGGTGATAGGGGAGGTGCAGTTTTGCCTAACGTGTAGGCAAAGCCCGGTCGGGATGTTGCATGCTGCTGCTTTAAAGGGGGGGGGGGGGGGAGCCATCTGAGTCCCTTGCATGTGGCGTGTTCTTCCTGACTGCTTCTAGTAGAAGAGCTGTCCCGCGTTGCAGTTTGTTAGAGATTGCATTCCGGATCATCGTGTGTAGAGACCGAAAATGCATATCCTTGCGTGGAGATAGATCCAGGTAGTCAGCCCGGTTGGTCTGAAGCAGTAGAAGAGATTGAGAGTCCAGTGGCACCTTTAAGACCAACAAAGGTTTGAACTGTTACCTCCCATGGGGCATGCACGTTTTCTTTCTTTTTTGGGGGGGCAATGTCTTCACCCATGTTCTGCTAGTGGTGTTGCCTTTGGGGTGCTTTACATTAGGAAGAGTGGCATGTGAGGCTGGGTTTAGGATTTCCCCCCCTTTTTCACCTGTGATGTACTCTCTCCTTCCTTTATGTCCTTTTCTCATTCTTTTTTTAAATCAATGGACGCCAAGCCTTGAATGTAACAAGTGGTGTGGGTGGGTGTGGAGGGGAGACATGAGTTTTTGTGCAACCGGTTGTATTTTTTTTAATGCATCTGTGGCGGAGAGATACGTAACTGAGACCTAGGCCTTGAGATGGCACATTTCAATCAGATGCCAATCAGCCGGCATCCTTCCGCATTTTCATTCAGTTCCTAGATATGGTAAAATGATTCTGTGCGAGGTAACAAAGGGAGATTAAAATAGAATGCTGGATTGTTCGGGTTTTCCTGTGCTCCAGGGCTGCTGTCCATGCTTTCTGAGCTGTCTTTCTGTCTTGAACTTTTCCCCCCTCTCAAACTCACTTAGCCTTGTGCGGGGAGGGGAAACTTGTGTCCGTCCCCTCCCTTCTCCTTTGCCAAGACGAAACTGTTGCACTGCCTTTAGGGAAAAGGGGAGAGAGAGAGAGAGAGATTTCTAGAGTTAGTGGATTAAAACTCCATTTTGACACTGTGTTTCAGAAGTGTCGCTGGAATTAAGAGTTGGCGTTCTTCGTCCTCTTTTCCTGTGTGAACCCAACCCGGTGACTTGCTCTGAATGAAATGCCAGAGAGATGGGTGGTGTGTTTTGTACATGTTCTGGTGCCAGGGTTCAAATGATTCATCGCCTCCTGCCGAGCCAGTAATGTTCTTGAAATTTTCTCTCCGGTCCGTCTTCTACGGTAGTGTGTCTGAAATTTATTTCCTTAAAAGAACCAGTTTGAGTTTCTGGGTGGTGGTTTTTTTCTGTTGTTAATCAAACTTTGTTGGATACACAGTCATGTGTTAAGTGCAATTTCTGTAGCTTCCCTGATGAGAACTGGGGCGCTTTTAGGATTTGTTTTAAGAAGTGGCATGGTTTCATTCCTGATTTGAACATCTGGTAGCCATGTTGGAAAAAGTTAACTTGGAAAGTGAGCTTGGTAGGAAGGAGGTGGTGTTTTGAACTCTGTGGCAAGTTACAAGCAGGCGTTTGTGATGTATTTTTTAAAGGTGTTTTGCGATTTCTAAGGTTACTCTCTATGTGTTTTGAGTGAGGCAGTAGAGACCCTGAAGATCTCCTTGCTCCTTGCATGCTATTTTGGCATGGGCTGTTTCTCAGGGACAGAATGGTGTGTGTGTTTTGAAGCCTGGTGGGAGAAGACCAGTTTGCCAGTAGGGTTTCTGTGTGTTTTCCTCAGGTCTGGAAATGTTCGGTTCTTGTGGGTGGGCAGTGTTCTGTCTGCATGCATCATGCCAAGGATCACTGTTTACTACAGCGGAATGCCAGCAGGAGTGCGCCAGACTTAATGGGCAGGGTGTGGGTTTACTTTTATTTAACTTCTGTTTTGTTTCTAGGAGCCGGAGGAGGAGGGAATGACATTCAATGGTGTTTTTCTCAGGTGAAGGGGGCTGTGGATGACGATGTTGCGGAAGGTAAGAAAAGGCGTGGTTGCAACCTGTCAGCAAAGCAGAGCATTTCTGCAGCTTATTCCCTAATACCCTACACAACTAGCTCATTCAAAAAGCTTTGATGAACTTTTTGCCAAAGTGGGCTGTGGTTGCAAGAGGGTGGTGGCCCAATGACACCTGCAGAGTTGGTTTTGCTCTAGGTAGCATTTAGCCCTTGAATGCAACTCAAGTGCCATTTAACACTGTGGGTGCTGGTATTAATTTGAGAATGTACAGTGTTCTACCGCTTTGCGCTGGTACAGCAGGATAATGCACCTTGTGTGGCATTAAGTCTGGAGACAATCCAGTGGTTCTTCAAAATACAATTGACTTCTGCTTGGTCATCAGAATCCCCAAACAGGAATGATTGACTTGATTTTGTGTGAGTTTGGTTTTCTTCAAGATGTTACATTTTTCCTGTTAAAATGTTGCAGAATCCTATTTGGTCTGTTGTTGGAAAGAACAATGTAGAAAGTAACCTTTTCATAGGTGTCATGCACACAGCTTGAGAGTTTAGGCATGTGCTTCAGGGCACTGAGTGAATTTGGTCTAATCCAAGGTAAACGATTTATCTGCTTACCTGCTGGAATAAAGGTAGGAATCCTGTGACACTTCCGCCTGGGGGTGGGGTGTTTCTTAGACTTCTGATGCTTAACACTTTAATCTCCAAAAGAACTTTCAGTAATTGTGGGGTCCTGGTGAAGTTACGTTAAATGCGGACAAAGTTTCTTTGTTCTTTCTCTTCCTCAGTGTGAGTCTTCGCATTGTGGGGGGGGGGGGGTCACAGGGATGCTGCTGAAAATGGCATGCCTCTGCTGAGTTGCCTTGTTCACCTCTGTTGTTTTGACATATTGGACGGAGAGGACCTGAATACAGTGATGCCATTTTCAGCACTGCACCACTATATTTCCCTGCTGGTGCCAACCAGTGTGGGGGGCAGAGGATGAGGAGAGTCACTGTGTAGTGGCATCATGATGGAGGGCAAATATTTTTGTTACGGCAGTGAGATAATTGGACACAGGGTTGTAGTATTCAGTCAGTGGCATTCCCACCTTTAATGCATAGCTCTACCACCAGCACTGTGTCTGTTTGGTAGTAATGTTTCAGCCCCGCTAATGAACAACAGAGCTAAATATGCTGTTCATCTCAGTTTGGTTCCCACCCCCCACCCCCTTTCTGCATCTTATTTCATGGTGTTAGTCGCTGTTTATTGTCTTGCGCCTTTGACAAGACCAGTGCTTGGCATCTTCATCCCCAGCTCTTTTTCTTTTGGTGCTTCTGGTGTGTCTGTCAATGACCTCCTCATAAATTCTGACTTTGATTTTATTTTGGCAGAGCAGCAGTCAGCAGTCTCTATCAAAAACACTTGGGTGCAAGAGACTTGGGGACCAGGCTTTTTTCAAAACGGACGCTAAGTGCCCTTTCGTTCTACCATTTGTCCTTAGAAAGTAAAACAGTATGATTCATATAGGTTTTGGTGTATGAAATAGCTGTTCTTGCTTTGCGTTTACTAAATTTGTACACACGGTGGCTGCATGAACATATGAAGGTCTCTTTTTGTTTTTAATTCTTAAATCTTTCTTTTGGTGTATGGCTTATGGCAGGGGACCCTGATGTCGTGCTCATCATGGGCACCGTAATGCCCACCAGCACCGTTCCTAGTGCCTATCAAGTGTTTTTAAAAGTAGGTGGGGCTTTTGCCCAGCAGGGCTTCCAATAAGCAGGAAAATGTTTTAAAACAATGTGTTCATTTTAAAAAACATCCTGTTAACCGGAGAATCTGCCTGAACTGTTGAAGAGTTACTCTTAGAGTTATGTATATGCTCACTCCCTGACTCTTTGTGGTTGGCTCCGCCTCCTGAGGCAGCCATTTTACACCCATCATTGGAGTCAGAATTTGAAAGGTGCTCACAGTCTGGAAAAGGCTGGGGACCTGTGACTTACCAGCTGGTAAACCTGAATAAAGTGAAAGTAAAGGCCTCTTTCAGTATTTCCGGATTGGCTGTGTCTCTCCAGGGTGTTGGGCAAAGCAAAGTCTTTCTCAGCACCAACTACCTGCTATCCTTTTAGCTGGAGGTAACCATGTGCTGAACCTCTAGTACCTTTGGCATGGAAACTGAGTGCTGTGTCGTGGGACTCTGGTCATTTGCCCAAATGGTTGTATGTTGCATTCCTGTCATTGTAGAGGTGGGTGATGTTGCTTACTAGATGCTGTATTTTGCTGGAAGGGGAGGCATGAGCTGCCCCACACTAAAAAGAGATAGTTGTGTTCTTTCCAATTGCCTTGAAATACTAACATTAGGGTGTGTGGAGTATTGATCAGGACATCATATGCATGTGGAAACTGTGGGTCTTCAGAGCATTCACATGGCTTGCTCCACTGTGTGGTGTGTTCCACCATATGTAGTAGGATTTACTTCCAAGTAAATATGCTTAGAATTGCAGTCTTAATCTTGTAAATACTTGAGCTTCTTTATCCCCTCCCTCCCTTGGTGATGATTCAATATGTAGTATTTGGCACTCACTATGCAGTGTGTTTTATGAGGAGAGAAAGATACACTGCATCGAGCAACAGAATAACTTCTTTCTTTTAAAGTCAACTTCTGAAACAGCTGTTAAAAGTATCTCAAAGTGATACTTCTGTATCAGTACCCACGGTGGTTAGAGTTTTGCATAATGTATTGCCTTACAGTGACTTTTCTTGCTTGTGTGTTGATAGGTGAAGCCAATTGAACGTGTCTTTGTTTTTGATATGTTAGATGTTTCTTCCTTTCAAGAGGTTTTTTAGTGTTTGTCTTCTAGGAGTCATTTTGGGCTGAAAAATAATTTCAGGAAGGAATAGACTGATGCCCTTTGTGCATCCACAGAGGATCACGGCCAGTGGTAGCTTTCAGTTTGGTACCAGAAGTTCTGGCTGGGTGTGAAGGCTGAATTGGACCTTGCCAAATGCACAGCACAGCACAAACATTGCAGAAGTGATTTTTGAATGAAAAATTGTGGGTTTCAGGGGCTCCTGAACTTTTCCTAGTTGCTTTTCTTCCTGCACCCCCTTCATTTGTAGCTGGCTTCTAAAACTAGATATAAGCCCATCTACGAGATCATGGTCCTGGGCAACCATGAGGAGGGGGGAAATGACTGTGGGAGAAGGCTTAACCACACTCTCCTAGCTGCTACTTCTCTGCTTGAAAGTTACACTCACTACCTCGCCTCTGTGCTGGCAATTCATTACTGGCTGGGGTCACACGGAGCATTAGCTACGCTACAAAGACGGAAGATAGGCGGATTTTCCGGGCGCGATTACAGCGCCACATCTGGTAAGCGTAGAGCTCCCGTGGCAAATCCGAGGCTTCCCGCCGAAGATGCGGGGTAAAAAAGTAGTACCTCCGAGGTACTAGTTTCCGGAAACCGCGGGGCAAGGGCGGGCGCTTGATCGCGTTTCTGGTGGTAGGTCGTGGCATCCGGCGCCCGCCCATGTCCTGTCGCTAAAAGGTTTTTTTTCTTCAAGTCTCCACGGGATGTGCACAAGCACCCAACGGCGAATGCACACACTTCATTTAAAAACAAACAACACAGCCCCCTCCTCTTTTCCATACCCTCCCCCCACTCCTGGCTCGGTCTGCTCGAGAGGAACTCTCTGCACCGGGCGGCAGAGGGGGAAGTGCAAGGGGGGTGTGGCGGGAGGGTGGCCCGGCTGAAGCTCCTCCTGGAGGGGACCGGACGGAGGACACAGTTTGCATTCCTCTGCAGCCCTGGAAGGGGTTAAACCCATGGAGCCTTTTGCTAGAGAGGCCGCTTCTTTGCTGCGCTGCAGGATTGCCCTGTGATTGGCACCTCCCCCCTAACCACGGGACCTCGACTGGACATCTGATTGCGCAGCCGCGCGTTATTTTGCTCCGGGGCAAACAGCCACGCATCCCCCCCGCATTTTCCTGCCCGTGTGACCGGGGCCACTATCTGCCTTCTGCCACCACAGTGTCTTGTGGTCTCATTATGGCTTTCACTATCTGCCCCAACACATGCTTTAGTAAGCCTGTCATAAGGCTCATTACATAGATTTCCTTAGATATGTATTGTAGAACCTTTGTATATGTAAACTTAATTCCTTTGGAGCCCCCTCCCCCCAGGTACATGTGCAGATCAAGAAATAATTTTGGCCATAGAAGGGCAACTTGGCTAATGGACTGCACATCTCTGGCCCAAGCAAATTTAGTCATGCACCCAGGTTGTTTACAGTCTGGTTAATGTGGCTGTGATGCTGAATTATTTCCAGCCACGATCAGTGTTTACCTTTGAGCAATAATATCATGGTACATACTGTTCATGGGAGTATTATCTCATTTTGTTCTTCATGTTGGTGGCTCTGGCATAGAATACCTCAAAACCTTGGTCACACACATTCCTGTTGCATGGTAGCTAGTGTTATTTCTAGGTACCTTCCTTCAGGTTTCTTTCGCTATCTCAGAGCTGGACTATATTCCGGATAACTGAGAAGTTTCCTTCTGAGAGGGAGGGCATTTTGACATGGGTTGATTCCCATCTGTCCATCAAGGAGACAGGACTAAAATTCTTCCAGGCTTCCTGTCTCCTGGATTGAGTCACCTACTTTCCTCAGTTTGTTTCCTGCCTTGTTTCCTAAACAAGGAGTTGCTCAGTAAGGCCCCACAATGCAACCGAAGGCTGTGCTTTTAATACCTACTTCTAATTTCTTCTGTACTTCAATTCCTCCTTCGGCCTCTTTCTGAGGGTGGAGTGGCTGAGGCAATGGAGAACATGGAGGACTTCTACAAAGCCTCAGATGGCTTCATTTCCAAGGAGGATGAGGACCAAAAATGGGAGGAAGTGACTACTGCCCAGCATGGTCAAGTAGGTGCAGACTTGCAGGAGAGCGGCCAACAGCAGACAAGCAGAGGCCGCAAGAAAGAGAGGTATGCTGCACAATTTGTCCACACCAATAAAGATGGCGGATGCTCAAGCTTGGCATTGTT